ACCACATATATATATATATATATATGATTATATTAAAAGCCCTAGAGTGAAAAGAACAGAAGAAGAGTGGGTGACGGAGAAGACCTAGTGCTGGCCTATGTCGAGCATTCTGAGGTACCTACACCTCCAACCGCTCAATCAGACAATCTGGAAAGAAACTGACGGTACGAACGCCACTGACATTGATTAGCGCCCATTTCTTGCAACAGCTCCAGCCAAGCACAGAGGGGGTCACGGTGACCCCATCCTGGAAGCCGTACAATACTACCAACACCCAACAACACACGGTGACCCCATCCTGGAAGCCGTACAATACTACCAACAACCCAACAACACCCTTCCTTCCAAGTGATACGCTGTCTACCTCGCGGTTTACGTCATCCTGAAGGAGACACGGAGAACAACACTCATCTCGGTAGACGGTGTTGCGCACGTTTGTATTTTTCATTTCTTCGGCCTTTCGGGTCCACCAGACTTCTCGGTCTGCGCGTATATTCAGTTTCACCTGGCATCAGGTGATGCGTCGGGTGGAGTTGTGATGGCGGCCAGGTGGAGTCTGTCGTCGGGTCTCCAGCAAAGATACGGTCCCATCAAAGATCCAATGCCGGACGAGGTTGGCTGGATTGTACCGTAAATAGACATTCTGGCTTTGAGTAGCGCTTTGGATATCTTTTCCCAGTGACCGTTTATATCCGACACCGTAATATCCGACAAGCGTTCTAGGAGCTGGTTCTGGCAGTTCCGGTTGACTTCTGGGTCCACCAGCTTCTCAATGGCTAAGCGATTTGCGTACACCTGAAAAACGCAATGGAAAGCAGCAGCATACATACAAATGCATGATCGGAGTCCACGCTGGTTTTCCAGAAGTAGCGGCAGGCAGTGATCGACCCTCGCCACCGGTAACTGACGGCGATGTGGTCTATTTGGATTCGGTGCTGGTTTGTTGGTGGGCACTACGTTGTCAAGCTATTTCTGCTGTTCCGGAAATCCGTACTACAAAGGAACAGTCTGCATCACCATAATTGCTCAGCCGAAACCTGGAAGAGAGCGAGGGGGCAGCCAGTTCGATCACCGTACTTGCGTCCTGCGTCCTCCCTTCTGACAACATACATCAATGCGGAGGGAATCCAGCGTAAGAGCAAGAGCCAACTGTTGACCTGCTTGCTTCAGTTTGCGAACACTGAAAGTGGCTAAGTAGACAGGCTTTCTGGATTTGAAAACAGACTTCAGTGAAGAATCGGTGTTGAACACTGATGTCATGCTGTCGGTGATGATGATGATGATGATGATCGTCCTCGCGTGATGCCATCAGTCGGGTCGCCTTACTTGTTGGGTAAGCAAAAAGACACTGCTGCTGACGTCTCCCTCCTTAGACTTTCATGTCTCCCCTCTTCCACCCTCCCGCCGCCCAAATCTGAATACTTTCTCCGCAGGTCCTAGCTCAAGGACTAACCGTTTTGCTCGCCCTGTATCATATTCAGCTGCAGCTTCCGCACGTCCGATTTCGATCACAACCTTAAACACTGCGAAGTGTTGTACGGCTTCCAGGATGGGGTCACCGTGACCCCCTCTGTGCTTGGCTGGAGCTGTTGCAAGAAATGGCGGCTAATCAATGTCAGTGGCGTTCGTACCGTCAGTTTCTTTCCAGATTGTCTGATTGAGCGGTTGGAGGTGTAGGTACCTCAGAATGCTCGACATAGGCCAGCACTAGGTCTTCTCCGTCACCCACTCTTCTTCTGTTCTTTTCACTCTAGGGCTTTTAATATAATCATATATATATATATATATATGTGGT